GGTAAAGTCACATTCGGAGGTGCTGGGGTTAGGATTTCAGTTTGGGAGTTAGCAGGGCGGGGCAGTGAGTTACAATTCAACTTGTAACAACCACGGTGAAGAAACTGGGTGCCTTGTTCTCAGTGTCAGTTACAGACAGGGGGAACATCTTCGGTGAAGTCTCAGGGCTTCGCTCCTAGTATGTCTTAAAAACGTGTTTCCTGCCTTGTGTTAAATCTGGTTCCGAGCAGCTAAAAGAGCTGAAATCTACCAGTTTCCAAGATGAGTCCTCTCCTGGTCAGGAACGAGAAAGATGAATGAGTAGTACTGCTTCCAGACAAGTATCTAATAAACTCTTTAAAAATGGTTCCCTTTGGTTGTCTCAACTCAGCAGGCCCGGAGGCCATCTTGTTTGTTATTCTGTCCTCAGACCAGAGAGGTCGGATTCAGCTGGAATAAGCTGAATGCTATGTTGTCTTGCATGTGAATGGTTTATTTTATTTAAATGTTTTTCCTTTAATGTTTCACTGAGAAAGTCCTTCAAACATACAAAAATTACAACGAACACCCTACCTAGCTCATAGATAGCTCAGGGTGTTAGATACCCTCTCTGCCTAGCTTAAAAGTTGTTATATTCTTAACTTTTTTGTGTGTGTGGGTGAACCATTTGGAAAAAAAAGTTGCAGGCATTATGCGGTTTCACCCTCAAGTACTTCAACATGAATTTTCTAGGAATAGGCTGTTCTGCCACATAATCACATTGTGATTCTCACATCCGAGGAAGCTCACAATAGTTCCATAATATCAAATCGTATCCAGTCCATACTCAAATATGGCCAGGCTGGCTTTTCGAATAATCTAAGGAACTCCAAATCTGTGAGGCTTAGGGTCTTGACACTATTACCTGTGTAATGAGGAACTCTGGAGCTCTCAAAAATGCAACCTGCCCAGGCTGGTGTGACTCAGTTGGTTGAACGCTGCCCTCTGAACTGAAAGGTCGCTGGTTCGATTCCCAGTCAGGACACGTGCCCTGGGTTGCAGGCCAGGTCCCTGGTTGGGAGACAATTCTCTCCCTCTCTTTCTCCCTCTCATCCCCTCTCTCTAGAAATGAATGAATAAAATGCTTTTTTAAAAATGGAACCTGATGACTAAAGTTCTCTCAGGCCACAACACATTGTTTCTGTTCACTAACAAGCTCTACTGACTGCTCAAATGAGTGCTTGGGGTGGGGTGCTCCTGGAATTCCTTTTATTTTAGACAATGGTCTCTGAGGGGTACCTGTTTGCTGCGGGAACCTCCCTGTGGGAGTCACGACAGGGAGCAGGGCACGGAGGCAGACCGGGCCCTGACTGGGGCAGACTCTCTCGGACTGGGCAATGTTCCCTGCAAAGCTCGCCAGATCCCAATCTGGCGTGGCTGCCTCTGCTGCCATTGTCATGGGCGTTTTCTGGGGAGTTCCAGACGGCGCCACCGCACAGAGAATTGTCCTGGCCTTCAAAAAGCCTGCCACAAATCAATAATGACAGAAGAAAAAGAGGAATGGTATGCAGTGAACTTGACAGAGTTTTGGGGGAATGGTCCTTGTTTTTCTTCTTTCTGTGCAAATCAAGATTGAGCCCATGGTTTTAAAAACCACTTCATAACTAGAAAGAGAGTAATTAGTAGAATTGTACAAGTAAAACAGGGCTGTGGGGGGGCAACAGAGATGGAGGGTGTGGGACGAATATCTCGCCTGTGATCCATGGCTACCCTCCTCCTCCATCCCCCAGGCTTGCTCCAGCTTGGCTGCAAGTTCCAGCCAATGTATTTCTGGTTGGGACAGGAGCCAGGGGGTCAGATAAAGTTCCAATGTATTTTGCAGCAGGCCTGACACTTTGCCCAGTGCTCTGGGCCTGTGACAGCTGCCAGAGTGGTGTGTTGAGAAAGCCAAGCCAGACAGAGCTGGTTTAAATGGGTTCGAGGGAGCAGCAGTTGGCCAGCCAGACAGCTCAGCCACACCCAGCTCGGCAACGCTGTCAAACCGACATGGCCGCTGGGGCCATGCAAGACCCTGCGCTCCATTCCCAGGAAGCCACCAGCAGCCACCATGCCAATCTCCGGGCACCTCAGGGACTAAGATCTGTACTCCCATACTATTATCTTGACGAAGACAAATAAACGCTTAACACAGGAGAGCACTCGACATGCATTATTTAACTCGACCCTCACAACAGCTCGATGAGGCAGGTACTGTTATTATCCTAGCCATGGGGATAATAGCTGACACAGACAGGTAACAGATACACTCAATATATCAGGCCTGCTTCTAAACACTTGTCAGGCAGTAACTAATTTACTAGGGAAACTGAGGCACAGAGGGGCAAAGACAGTTGTCCAAGGTCACGGCTGGAAGGTGTGTACCTGAAACCACTGAAAAATGGGGGACTCCAGAATGAGGGCCCACCCCTGCACTATCCCCTGATTTTCCAGAGGGGGAGCCTGTTCCGGGACAGCAGGGTGAGATTACGGTGAGGGCGAAGGTTTGCACTTTTCTGTTCCCGAGAAGCATAATGAGAGGCGCCCGTGGGAATGGAAGCCCAGCAGCTGACCCTGAGCCTTTGGCCGCGCTTCCTTCCTCTCTCCCTGCCCAGTGGGTCTGAACCGTGTCGTTTCAGGTCTCACGGGAGTTTTGTGGGGCAGACAGCAAGTGGGTAGGCGGGCAGGAGGCCTTTTGCTTACTTCAAGTTGCATCCGACCCTTCTGAATTCCGAGGCACCCGAGGGCAGTCAGAAGCTGCCTCTTGTGCCTCCCACAGCAGGGCCCGAGTGCCCCAAATCTGAAAGTGAGCCAGCTGGGCATAGCTTTGCACTAAGGCCAGGCTTCCTGTAGTATTTCGGCTCTACCGATAGACCTGCAGTAGTGTGACCTGGGAGGCGGAGCTAGGCTGCCCGGTGACAGTCCTGCTGCCATCACTGTCTTCACCAACTGTTTCTACCTGCACCAGGTGTCGTCCACCTGGGGGGCCCTCGCCTCACGTGCCCAGCCTCTGGACTGGACTCTGAGGAAGGAGAATTGGGCCGTGCGCCTCAGTGCACCCGGCTACGTGCTCAGAAGCAGGCCCTCTAACTCGAGGACAGGATCAGAGACTTCTGGACGAGGTGATGTCTGGTCAAGGTTTTAGATACACCATAAACCATCACCGGGTCTGCATCCTACTCCTCAGGGGTATTCAGATCAGTGTGTACTGACTGGAGTTTTTATGTTTATATATATGTATATACATCCGACCACCTCCCCATCAGTTCTTTTCTTTTTAATTAGAAAGAGACCAACTTTCTTTTCTCACCAGGCAGCAGGAGACCATCTAATGGCTGCACCGGATTCCACTGTCCAGCTGCACCATCGGTTACAACAGCAGTGCCTGCTGACAGCGTTTGGGCTGTGCTCAGTGTGTTTGCTATCAGTCATCCATCCTGTCTTCCTTTCCATAAATACTTATTAAGCTCTTTCCATATGCCAGGCACCTTGGTACATTCTGGGGACACGGATATGAAGAAAATGCGCATGCTCTCTCCCTCCCGCCTTCCAGCCCCGGGAGAGACAAACTGCTCCCAAGATGCCGGGAGAGCTGAGGAGGGAAAGGGTAAGAAGCTTTGAGGAAGACTAAGAAGGCCCCTGAGTTACACTGGGTATCCGGAAAAGACCGCTTGGGTATTAAATGTCACAGGTGGTGACATTTAAGTGGAGAGCTAGATGAGAAGGAGCCAATCATTTGAGGAGGACAGGGAAAAGCATTCTTGGCAGAGGGAACAGCATGAGCAAGAACACAGAAGTATGAACACTGTGTGGTGTGTACTGGGGCAGACTCCTCCTAAGTCTACAGTATAGGGGTGTATTTGAGGGCAAGGCTAAAGAGGCAGGGCAGACTCTATGTCAGAAAGCCCCGAATGCCAAGCCAAGGAATTTGGACTTTCTCCTGTAGGCAATAGAGAGCCACTCGTTACACTAGGTCCAGACACCAAATGCCATGGCTCCAGCCTGAAAAGACCCAGGAGAAAATTAATCTTCGGGAGGAAACTCTGCTTCGAATGGGAGGCGTTCAAAGCCTGTCCTGAGCCTTAGGGCCAGGCAGGTTACTTATTACTGATTCCCCTGCAGAAATGCGGCCCAGAGAGATCAGGGGACTTGCTCAGGTGAAACAGCAAACCAACGCCCAAGGCAGAAGCTAAGGCCCCAAATGACACCCTTCAGCTTCAACCTTAAACTCACCCTTCTCTCACTTGGGTTTTTTTTTTGGGGGGGGGGCAGTCACTAAAAGCAGGAGGAGGGTGAGGAAATGCATTTTAACAAGAATTTGTGTCCCATGTAGGAAGGTCAAGCACTATTCGTGAGCAGGGGTATAGGCAGAGGCCAGGAAGATCTACAGGAGTGAATTAGACCCTAAGCTCCTTAACTACAGAAATTCCCGTCCCCCAGGAGTCTCCTCCCCCGTCCCCCCTACCCACAGCCCTGCCCCCACCTCTGCAAAAAAAAAAAAAAAAAAAAGTTGCCGGAAAATCGTAATAAAGTGGCCAGGAGTTTCCTGTCTTGCTAAACTGGCTTACTCAATTTCCCTCATTTGTGGGCTCTGAGCAGAGGGAGCAAAGGGCAAACATCAAAGGTGTCTGGCATGAGGCCCCGGCCACCACCGGGTTAATGGGCCTCCCGAGGACTCAGTCTGACCTGGGTCTGGGCAGCGGAGGGAGAGGGTACCGGGCGGGGAGCCAAGGAAGAGGGTAGCCTGAGCAGCTCCGCCCGCCGGGCGCGCGCTGTGCGCAACTTGCAGGACAACGCAAGCGGATGCGGCTGGATGGGGCAATCGCAGGCAACGTGCTGCGGCGGGGCGCGTCTGCGGGCGCTGGACGGGTGTTGGGGGCGGGGCGGAGGAGCCCTGGCAGACCAGCTCATAGTAGTTGACCTCCTCCCCCAGTTTTCATGGCTCCTTGTGCTGGGTTTGGAGGAAGGGCGCTGCTCTGGAGGCTTACTGGGCCTGCACAGGTCAGGAATGCGCCTGTGTGCACACTGCCCAAGCAGCTCCCCGTGCCTGAAGACCCCGTGCAGTCCAGGTGCCCTGGTTTATTTTCCCCGGGGGATTGACGTTCTGTTCTGGGCTGTTTCTCCGCCCCTGCACTGCGCTGACAGACACGTGAGTTTCTGGTGCAGACACACCTGGGCAGTCCACGTGGGTACCACACACGCCAGGGCCCGTCTGCCCCGTTGGATATGGAGAGCTATTCTAAGTCAGCTCCCGGATTTGTTGTCCCAGGTCTGTTGGAACATGGACTGAGCTGTGTGTCCTGGGAGGAAGTTACTTAACCTCTCTGATATTCAGACAAATCATCTGTCAAATGGGGGTGCTGATAATACATACCAATCTCACTGGGTTATATTAGGCATTAAACAAGATAATGGTCATACATTGTTAAGCCTCAGTGGTCATAGCGCTCACCCAATAAGTGATAGCCACGATAATTCTCATAGTGCGGAGAAGAGTGAGCTACCCTACCGGCCCCAGCTGGGCTCTGAGAGTCTGTGACTGGGGCGAGATTGGTATGTTTTTCCTTCCCTATGTCATTCTCATCTTTTCTTCATTGCCATCCCTCATCTTCACCCATGGCCTGCAACATTCATTCATGAATCCAACACAAATCTTGATATTAGTGCCTACTGTGTGGCCTTAAAAACCCTTCGACTGAGTATGTGCCAGCCCAGGAACATTACCGATGGCCTCTCAGCCTGCACCCCTGTAACTCTGGCTGCTGACTCATTGGAGCAAGTCACTTCCTGCCTCAGTGTCTCCCTCTGTGTACAGGGATCAGAGGCTGCTCTCTCTGGTCTCCTGGGCCTGACAGGGGATGAGTCAGATAACAGTGGGGAAAGCCCAGAGAAGCAGAAAGCAGCTCTGTCTGGCTGATGCAAGGTTTGGGTTTTGCGAGTAATCCAGCAAGCGGGAGCCGGAATGGCTCAGGGAAAGCGTGATGAGCCGGGCGGGGGTGGGGGTGGGGGGCAAGCACTCGCGCGTGCGCACACACACACCAGTGCACAGGACCTGGCCTCAGCTTCGGAGTCTAAGGGGCCGGGGCTTGGTCCAGGCTCTGCCTCCTCCAGCTCTGTGACCACCACAGGTTCCTGATCTCTTCGACCTGTCTGCCTTTTCTGTCAAGTGGGGGTCATGACATTTCCCTCACTGGGCTCTTATAAAGTACCTTCTACCTCCCCCCAAATGAAGACAGTGTACCACATTCTGTGTTTCTAGGAGGGGCTGTGAAGGCTGCTGGGGGCCCAGAGTGACAGATGAGACAGAAGAAAGGCAGCCCTAAGCCAAAGGCTTGGCCTGTTCTCATTGTCCAAGGCTAGTCTCCAAAACGCCAGCTCTCGAAAGGATCAGAGATCAATGTCCCCTCATCTGACTTCTGAGGTAAGAGACCACCACCTGTGCCCCCTAATGAACAGGAGTATGCCTCAGATTTGGGTCCAAATTTGATCTCTACCATATGCTAACTATATAATGTTGAGCAAGTTACTTACTGTCTTTGGCCTCCATGGTTCCACATGTAAAATGAGGATAGTAATGCTTGCTGTATAAAGCTGTTGTAGCCCTGGCTGGTGTAGCTCAGTGGATTGAGCCCCATCCAGTGAACCAATGGGTTGCTGGTTTGATTCCCAATCAGGGCATATGCCTGGGTTGCAGGCCAGGTCCCCAGTAGGGGGTACATGAAAAGCAAACACTCACTGATGTTTTTCTCCCTCTCTTTCTCCCACCCGTCTGCCCTGTCTAAAAATAAGTAAATAAATCTTCAAAAAGAGCTGTTGTGAAGATAAGAAAAATGAGGTAAGTATGAAGTGTTCATAATAGTGGCCACTGTTGTAAAATGCAGCTCCTGTCTCCGGTGCTCACTTTCACCTGTCCTAGGTGGGGGCCAAGTAGAGTATTATTGTCTCAGTTCTTTGGGGTAGAAATGTGTACTGGAAAAAAAAAAGAAGAAATGTGTACTGAAATCTTCAGGGTCCTTTTGCTTTTTAAAAGTTGATAGCCTCGGCCCTGGCTGGATAGCTCAGTTGGTGAGAGTGCTGGCCTGTTACTCTAAGGTTGCAGGTTCGAACTCCTGTCGGCTCACACACAAACAATGAGTGCATAAATAAGTGGAACAGTAAATCAATGTTTTTCTCTTCCCTTCCTCTCTCTCTAAAATCAACTGGTAAATTTAAAAAATAAAAGTTGTGGCTTCATACCATGAGCTTTGAGGCAAAGGGCTCCGTTTGCTTTGGGAGATTACTGTCTTTGATGTGTGGTGAAGGCCTTATACCCATTATATAGATATGGAAACTGAGGCAGGGAGAGGCCAAATAACTTGCCTTGGGTCATGTGGCCAGGAAGCGGCAGTGCAAGTCTGCCTGATTCCAGATTGTCCCACTGCACAGGGCCTTCCCTGCTTCTGGTGTTTCTGGCTGTTGTGTTGCCCTTTCCTGAGTCGGCCTCTGAAGATGTCCCCAAGGCCAGGGAGAGTCATGTTATTGCTTCCTTGGCTTCCAGGGTGTGGCTCCAGCACACAGTGGGGCCTCAGTCTATGCTGCTGACCAGGCAAACTGAGTTCTACTTGTCAGGGAGATGAGTCCTACTAGGAGGAAATGATTCACACAGGCAGGCTGAGTGTGAGGGCTGTCTCGGTGTGTCCCCCAGTGTGTCTCTGTGTGGGGGTGGGGGTGGGGGTGGAGATTACGTGGGAGGGAAATCCAGGCTGGTGATCCCGCCTGGCCCCCTCTACCAGCCTCAGTGAGGGCTAAGCCTTCCAAATGGTAGAACCTCCTGCCCCTCCCCAGGCCCTGTCTGCTCGAGGCCTCTCTTCTCTTTGAACGCCCACCCCAGCCCACCTCACCCCAGCACTGGTCCTTGTGTCCCAGCCTTCAAGATGCCTCCTCCTCATCTTAGCACCCCACGCTGGTCCTGGGAAGGGGAGGGGCAGGGGGGTCTCAGCAGCCTCCTCCTCCTCGGCCTCCTGGGGCCTGTGTCTGGGGGTCATACCTGCTGTTGGCCTGGGTGAGGAGCTGCCTCCTCCTGTGCCCAAGAGAAGCTCTTTAGGTGTCACTAAGTCTGGGCCCTGCTATTTTTAGATGCTCTCCCCTCCCTTCCACTCTCAGCCTCAGACCAGCAGAGGAAGGAAATGACTCACCTCAAACTCACACAGGTAGAGGCAGCCTCAGCAGTCCCAGGCCAGCCCTGCCTGGCTCCAGCCTGAGGGTTGCCCCGCGTGGGGTCACCCCACAGTGGCCCACCTCCCAGCTTCAGGGTGAAGTGGGTCCTGGAGCGAGGCTCACGGGGCCTCTCGTGGACTCTCTCTGCTGTCTGCTCGATCTCTCCCAGCACCTGGGGAACAACCGGTTCTCCAACAGGCTGAGGGCCCTCTGCTCACCTCTGAGCAGACTTTGGCCTCTGACTACTACGGGCCTGTGGTAGGTAGGCCCCAATCCAGTCTGAGGGGACACACAGGCCAAGGGGCCTGAGTGCGGTCCTATTCATTTGCCTCATTGCAGACCGAGGCTGCAGAAAGAATGACCCTGTCCAGTGGGGCAGGGCGGGGTGGCCCCAGATACACACGTGCTGAGTAGAGTGACCAGTTGCCCCCGTTTGCCCAAGTGTGAATTTCTTGGGACCTGGGACTTCCAGGGCTAGTTGGGATAGTCCTGGGCAAAACACAACAGTTGGCCACCCTGGCACTGACCTGCAGGCTGTATCTTAGGGAAAGGGCAGGTGCAGCCTAGCCCTGCCTCTTTGTAGTTCTGTTCACCTGTACAGGAGAAGGACTGGGCCAAGGCCATGCAAAAAGCCCAGAGCTCTGGGCTGGTCGAGAGACCCACGAAGCGCCTTGTCTGGGGCAGCTCTCCTTGAGAAAGCCAGTGAGGGGTAGGGTTGGCCAGTCAGTGCAGGGTTGGGTGCAAGGGCTGACCTGGGGGAAGGGGCCAGCTATCTGACTTCGGCAAGGGCTGGGGAGAGACACCAGGGATAGCAGGAAATGATGATGAGCGCACAGGATTTGCATTAGGGAAGCTCGGTTCCAGGCCCACTTAGTGCTGGTGCCTCGGCGTTTTCAGCTGGAAATGGGAAGAGAGGCACCTGTCTGCCTGCCTCAGACACTTGCAGGGAGGAATCTGAGAGAACGCCTGGGCCAGGGGGTGGCAAACTGGACGGCTGGGGCTGGGGTAGTTTGTTAGCCGGAGAGGCCTTGCTGGGGCCTAGCTCTTGGCTGGTCAAGGAAGTGGGCACAGGAACCTTTGCCTTCCTATCCATCCAGGGCAGCATCCGGGCTGCCTTCTTTGGGGCAATATGGCTCCTGGCCCTCAGGCCCCACCTCTGGGGTCATATAAGGGGAGCTGTGGCTGGGACCCAGGCCTTGATGGGGGCACCCCTTCCTTTTCCACTGTTCTCCTCACCCTCAGGGTGTTGACTCTTTTCCCATGGACCAGGGGTTAGTGGCTGGGCAGCAGCCCTGATACCATGTGCTTGGCTGGGTGGTTTCAGACAAATCACTTGTGTTTTTTGGGCCTCAGTTTTTTCATTGGTAAAACTGTGGGGATAGATTAGGTCTCTGGTTTTTAAATATTTGTTTTTAGTACTGGAACCTCTTTTCCGGTCAAGGTTCTAATTACAGTAAATAAAAGAGATAACAGTAGGTGATTGAAAAATTAGACCACACAGCTCCTCTCCTCCTCACACCCAGGGCGCCCAAGGGCCCGCAGGGACCCAGTTTGAGAACCCCCTTCAGGGTGCCTGCCATCTCTAACACTATCATTCATGGGTCACGGGCAAGGATGTCCTTGTTTCCTTTTCCGGGAAGCCCAGTAATTGACCCCCAACCCTGCATCTCCTGGCACCTTCTACCAAGTACCGAAGCCTTCAGATTTTTTAAATCCTGGTTCCCGCTGACACTGAGGTCCGTCTCAGTCCTTGTTACAGAGTTCACTGGGGCCACAGACCCCTGTCCCTCCTCATGGAAGTCACGGGACTAAAGTTACACTCTGGGCCACAGCTGACCTTGTGAGGCACTCCTGGGCTTGTGAAGGACTCCCACGTGCCTCTCTTCTCATGTGCCCCCCAACCGCCCCAACAGCCTGCAGGACAGGTCTGAGGGACACTTCACAAATGAGGGAAAGGGGCTCAAGTGAGCTGAGGAGACTGGCTCGAGACCCCCCATGTGTGGGTACAGAGCTGGGCACCCAGCCAGGAACTCCGGTCCTTTCCTGGAACCACTGTCGGGGGCATCGGGCCGAGGCCCAGGCCTCCCCTGGCGTATCCCTGGTGCTGTCGGCTGCAGGCACCAACCACAGAAAGGTGGGGTGGGAGTCTGTGGGGAAGGCAGGACAGAGAAACACCTTTCTTCCTCACCCTGGGGGTCTGTGGCAGTATTCTCCCCAGCTGCCCCACCACCCCACCTCATCACCTTCCCCTGCTTCTGTCAGAGAGGGGTTGGGGGCAGGGAGGGTCAGGGAGGGCCGGTCCTCAGAAGCTGGGACCCCAGGAACAGGTAGCAGCGGCTGCCACTGGCCAGGCACCTGACCCGGGTCATCCAAAGGCCCCCAGTGCCTGCACTGACATCATCAGTGCCTTGAAGGGACGTGCTGTCTTCTCACACGCACACAGTCTTCTCTGGCTTTCCTGACCACAAACAGGTGAGGGCGTGGGGAGGGGCCGGCGGCTGGAAATGTGAGCCAAGCAGAGTCAACAGTTCCTCGAATTGTGTTGCAGGGCCTGGCTGCCAGCTCCAGTGCTGACAGTATGAACAGATGTGGGTCACAGCTCCATCCCGTAGCCTGAACCCTGCCCTGCCGCATGACCCCAGGCTGGCAGTGCAGGGGGTTCCAGCCCTGGGGTCCTGGGGCCCTGGGGGTGAGGCTGGGCCTGGGAGGAGCCTGTCTGTATAAATCCCACCCTGGTCAGGCTAGTGGCCCAGGGACTCCATGGTCAACAGAGGCAACATTAAGGACTAAATCAGTGAGTTCTGTAGGATGATGATAATTATAATAAAAAAACTTTAAATGATACATATGAAAATTGCTTCTTTATATATAACTTTAAAATTATAACAAAAAATGATAATGTCCTTTACAGCTGAGGCTTGAAACCTGACCCAGGATTTTGTTTCCAGTGCTTCGGTGTTGAGAAGGGACCAGGAGGGGAGTGAGGCTCATGGCAGTCCCAACGGCACCGCTCGTGCGCCTCTCTGAGCCCTGGCTGGGCGGGGACGCCCCCAGTGGGTGCTGCCCATGCGGCCCCTGCAGTCCGGCGATGGAGGTGGGAGGCCAACTGACACACAGGATCGGGGGTGCCATCCTCAGCACCCGGGGCCACAGGCTGGCAGCTGGCAGGTGAGGCCTGTGGCCAGGGTGACACCAGGGCAGCCAAGGGACAGAGCTGGGTCTGAGTGCAGGGGCGGGTGGTGTCACCTGGCAGAGGCCTGAGTGCTGGAGAGAGGATTTTCTTCTACTCGCCTGGGATGCTGCCCGCTTCGGGACTGGGATCAGAGGTCCCCTGGAAGATGGGCACTGTTTATGGTTCTCGTACTAGCCCCTGACACACCTGTCCTCACTCAGGGAGAGGAGACGTGGGCATTTCCAGGGGGACTCTGCCTCCCCCAGGAGGTACAGAAAAAGCCCCACTCAGTGCTCACTTACCCCGCAAGAGACAGAACCTCCTCTCACTGTCCTGCTGGATGCTGGCCCTGTGTGTGGGTTTATGGCCGCAAAACTATCTGCAGGGCTACCTCGGGCAGGGTTGGTGAGGTGGAGAAAACTGCAGAGGGACGACCACGAGTGGCCATTAGAAAGACGCCTGGGGGGACACTCTTCTTCCTTCAGCAGTGCTGGTGGAGGCCCCACTGTGTGAAGGCCCCAGGGCTGCAGCACCTAACCAGACAGGCAGGCAGGCCCCAGGCAGGCCCTTGCCTCTCCAGGGTGTGAGGCCTTCATCTGGAACTGCTCAGACTCTGGAATCACATTGCTGGAGGGTGGGGCCAGGCTGGGGCCTGGGCCAGGCCAAGGCTGTGGGAATATGGGCAGGCCTCCCAGAGGAGATGGGGGAGGCGGGTGGAGGAGCAGCGGGGAGGCTGCTGGCAGAAAGAACTGGGGCAACGTGTCAGGAAAGGGTGGGGGGAGGAAGCTCCAGCGGGCAGTGGGGTCAGAGCTTGAGGGCCCTGCCAGCCATCTGGACCCAGGAGAAGGACCTCACTCTGTCCCTCTGGCCTCCACTTTCCCCATCTGTAGAAAGAGACCGTCAGCATGCTTCTGTGCTGCTCAGACATCTGTCTCTTGGGCCCCTCACTGTGTCCATTATAAAAAAATGGCAACAATCTAGTTAAGGAAGTGGAGCTGCTGGCCAGAGTCCCTGAAGGCCCGAGCCTGACCACTTGCCCTTAACAGCACCAACTCTACCGGGGAACTGTACCCTCCCCTCCCAGGGAAAAGCCCAGCAAATCACAGCTATAAAAGGCAGCCCCACTCTCCCTGGGACTTTGTTTGGACCAAACTGTCCAAAGGGAAGGGAAGGAAAGGGGACAAGGCGTGGCAGTAAAGCCCCACAAGCAAACCCCCAACTCTTGGGCTCTGGGAGGGCTGTTTGGCCGCGGGGGCCCCTAGGGAGTGGCTCCCCACACTGCGCGTCCTGTCCTGTCCGAGCCTCAGACCTTTACTTGCTGCTCAGAGGCTGTGGGGCTGTGGAAGCACAGGAGGCTCGGGCCTGTTCTTGGGGAAACATCCTCTATGGGGATCTGGGCAGAGGGGGTGACAGGCAGAATGCTGCACCCAGGCCACCAGCTTTGCCAATCCCCTCTGCCCCGCACCCCTGCCCACCATGGCCAGCCAGGACTGCCTGTTCCTGAGCACGAGGTCTCTTGTTCATTCATTTTCAGTGAAGTTCTTTCTCAGCCCATGGCCACTGGGTGTGGCTGGCAAGGTGACAGTTATAGATTGGGGACCTGGCCTGTATATTGTTCCCTGGATGACGTCACCCCATGCTTTCCCAGCTCCAGGACTCCGACACACTGTCCCCTCCAGCCAGAGTGCCCGCCCCACCCCCAGCCCTGCCCTCACCCCCATTTCCTTCACAGATACCAGTTCCTTTGTCGCGTCCCCAGCCAGCCCTCGCACCAGCGTGTTCCCAGGTTGTTTGCCTCAGTCCTCCGTGCCCTGGAGCCTGCTGAACCCTGGCCTCTTCCCTGCCCCCTAACTCTTCCAGGGCAGCCTGTGTCTCAGTCACCTCTGGTGTCAGTGCCTGCAATGGGACCTGACACTTGTTTGGTGAATCAGATCATCGTTGTTGAGGAAGACGACAGAGTGTCCTATGTACCCAACACCACGTGCTGTGTCATAACCCGTTTTCCTCCTCACAATAACCCAGTGAGGTAGGTGGTTCAGCCACTCCCATCTTGAAGATGAGGACACTGAGGCGGAGGGAGGTTAAGTGACATGCCCAAGGCCAGCCGGTACAGATGGATCCAGCCCGGGCAGTGGGGCTGCAGAGCCCACAGTGACACCCAGCAGATCTACTATGCTCCCTTTTGGAGGTGATGGCGACTCAGGGAAGTTGCCCAGCACACCCGAGTGGACCCCTTTGTCAGCGCCAGGAGAGAGGGTGCGCCTGCTTCTATGGGCGGCTCACCCCAGCCCGCCCTGCTCAGACTAAGGCCCCCTTTCCTTAGTGTGGCCTCTCTCCCCTCCTGAATTCGGGTCTCCCACAGCTCTGTTTGGTACAAATGGTGTTGAGCTCCTTGAAAACAGTGAGTTTGGGCTCAGCAAATGTTTGCAGAATGACTGCTTTGCTGAATACACTCCCAGAGACACACACAGCTTCAGGAAGACCCTGGGTCAAGGCCCTCCCTCCCCCAAGCCCCGGTTTCCTGCTCTGGATCAGACTCGCCCAAACTGTGTGGTGTGACAGCCTCTATGTGTTCCGAGCTGCTCCAGAACTGACACTGTGTCCCACTCTATTTACCTGGGGCTCAGCACTGCTGTCTGTGCGTCCGATCCCCAACCTAGAAAGCCAGGTGGGGATGGGGTTACAGTTGAGCAGGGATGCACGTTCCTTGCTCCTTGGAGCAGTTCCCTTCCCGAGACCTGGGGGCAGCCTGGGATGAGGAGATAAGCTGGCAGATCCCAGGAGCTTGGATGGGCTAGAGGTTTTGCCACCTGACAGTGGGTGGGGACACTTGTCAAAGACTCTCTTTTTGCAGCAAACAGTTGGAGTCTGTCCCGCCCCTTCTGGCTCGCTGAGCTGCACGCTGAGGGCAGGGGGATGGGTTGGTAAAAGGGAGTGGGGGAGCGGGTACCGCCCCTGCCAACTGCAGTTAACAAGTGGCTGCTCGCAGGCCAGGCGGGGCAGATGCGGTGACCCCAAGCTGGGCAGCCAATGAGCTCCCAGGCTGCAGTGGCACCACCGGGCAGCCTGCCTGTCTTTGGCTGGAGCGGCAGTGGGAGGGGCCTCCGGCCGCCAGTCAGGGCAGCCGGGCCCTGTTTCTGGGAGGCCCCGGGCAGATCTGCCGCTCCATTCACGGGAAGCCCCGCTCAGGCTGCCTTCTTTTTAACTTTTCCAGCCTCCCGGGGGAGGGCAGGCTGTGGGGGTGGGTGTGGGAATGATGGCTGGGAAGGCTGTGCAGCCAGAGGTGGAAACTTGGAGAACTTTTCCCTGGCCCTGCCTCTGGAGTGGGCCAGAGTTCCAGGCTGCAGAGAAGGGAGGAGGCTGAACCACTGCGTTCACAGCAGGCCAGATGGAAGGGAAGGGTTGCCGACAGCAGAAACCAGGGGAGCGGGGGTTGTGCTCGCGTCCCGGTTGCCAACCCAGGCCTGGCACTGGAGGTCCCCAGGGTCCTGGCTTGAGTCCCTTACCCTTTGGATGGAGTCAGCCTTGAACAATTGTGAATGAAGTGGCTGTCAGCTGGGGCAACGGGTGACATTTAGGCTTGTCACCCCAGACTCCTTGTGGGATGCCAATAAGCGACAGGTGCTCGTGGGATTCCCCCCAACCTCAGCCTCCCTCCGCCACCCCCGTGCGCAGTGCAAACCCACTACAGCCAGTCACATAATAAACATATTTATAGATGTACAATCTCAATTCTAACTCAAGAAATACAGCTTCTCAGGGGATCCTTTAGGATCTAGGTTCTCATTGCACATGGCTCAGCCATCGGGACATCTACCAAGACCAGCCAGTCGGAGGTGGGGGCAGAGCACCAGGGCCGCTGCGGTGGGGCACTCGCACCCGCATCCAGTTCTCAGCATCTCTCCAGGCACGGTGGCTGCTTCATCACAGGGCGGGACCTTGTTCAAAATCCAGATTTGACATTCCTTCACCAAGCTTCCTTTCCCAGTAAGAATCCTGTTTGTTGGGAGACGTTTAAAAAAAGAACCAGGAGTAACTCTGGGAGGATGGGTATCATCACCTCTCAGCTGGCAGCGTGGGGGAAGTAAGGCTCGGAAAATGGTGGGCTCAGTGGCACACCCACCACCAGAGGGAAATTCAGGAAAACATGGTAGTTCCAAAAGGCCCAGTCAAAACTGTGGGGATAAAGAAAACCTCCCTCCCTTCTGGCAGCAACTGCTGTTTTGAGAAAAATCTTCATTTAAGGATAAGAAAATCCTTCTGGTTCAGATGCATCCTCTGTCCAAAGTTCGAGAGAAGGCGGGGTGGCGTTGTGTCCACGGATGGCAGAGAGAGGTGCCCACAGGCGCAGACTTTCTTCGGGAGTCAGCTGCTGTCCCGCGCTCCTGGGTGCCACGGGCTGACTCTGGGAGGAAGAGCCCCCTGGAGTCCTTGGTGCATGACTCGGGAAGAACCAGCGGCAACACTGGAGCTGTGCCTTGTGGCACCTGTAAGGCGAAACCCAGGGACTAGGGCAAGGTGGTTAGGTGGACCCTGGTCCCTCTTCCGACCTGTTGATCTCTCTGGCAAGGGGTCAGCCGGGTACCAGGCACCAGGACAAGGAGCCCGCCTGAGCTGGCCAAAGCTTGAGGTGGGTGGCCTTGCCCCAGAAAGCCACCTGGGACCTCTACTGTGACAGTGCTGAGCTGGCACCTGGCCCTAAGGGCACTTTCTCCCCTCCAGCTTAGCCATGAACCTGGCAACCTTCCAGTGCTTTCTACAGATTTATCCTGTCATGATTGCTGCTGCCCAAAACGGGCTGGGGCCTAGGGGAATGTCAGAAGCTGTGACCGGCTCCCTGTGCTGTGGCCAGTGTCTGCGAAGGACCTGGGTGCCTTCCCCAATCAGTCTGTTTTCTACGACAGGGAAGAGCTCATCTCAACAATTCACCAAATCCCTGCATAGTTTAAAAAGTAGACTATATATCTATATATATCTTTATATATGCTATTTACATATAAATAGATATATATACATATACACGCATCTGTAAATTACATTCTCTGGAAAGTTCTCTTTCCTCCTCCTTTCTATCCTTGGCTAGTGCCTGCCTGGATTCCACTGAGAGGTGACTGGTGGTGGCTTCTGGGAGGGAAAAGAAAGGCAGTCAGGTCTCCCCTCCCCCAGCCCTTCCCACAGACATTTGCTGCAAGTTTTACATTCTGCTTTTGTTGCCATGGTTTCCGTATCCTAGGAGAGCGCCGCTGTGGAGCCTGAGCCCCCGCCAGCTCTGGGAGGGAGGGAAGCCGCCCTGTGGCAGGTTCTCCTGTCTGTCCTAAGAGCTTTCTGCATTTACTGGACGAGAGAGAGGGCAAGTTGTGTGGTGTTCGGCCTCCAATCCATTTAATGTTTTTTTTTTCTTTTCTTTTTATGTCTTTCCTTAAATACACAGTCCATCACCTTGGCTCAGTGCACGTCACCAAAAATTCTCCAGGGATTTCATGGTCTGGGGAGGAGAGTGGGAACAGTTAGTGTGTCAGTCACACTTCTGGAGTCTCCAGCTCAGCCTGGGAACAAGCGGCCCTCCCTGCCCGGTCCCGCACACCCGAGCTGCAGTGCCCCGCTGCCCTCCTACAGTCTGCTTCACTTTCCCGGGGGGCGCAAGCCAACAGCCTCAAAGCAGAGAGCCTGCTCCTGGATCCCTACTGAAGGGATGTGGAGGGATGGACAGGGTGCCAACAGGAAAAAGAGCCTTCACCAGCCCTGCCCACACTCCCCCTGAGCTTGGTGCAAGCCGTCCCCTCCGGCAAATGCTGGAAGCAGAGCCCACTGCCTACACATAGGGGTAAAGGAGGCAGGTAGCCTGATACCAGCAACTTTCACCGCCCCCCCCCCCCCCCCCGCCAACCCCTCCCCGTGCTGAGGGCTCTGCATTTGACCCTGAACCCATGACCTGCTGTTCCCTTCCTCAGACCACAGGTGAGATGCCAGGCAGGCCAGATGCCTACGGCTTCCAGGCTGCAGGTGCAGTGGCATGAAAGAGACAGTGAGAGACAGACAGAGAAAGCCCGCCTCCAATCCCACCTGAGGCAGAGGTCGGTGCTCAGGCCCCTCCTCTCCCAGCCAGCAGGCTCTCCCCTCTGCCTCTGCTGGGCTCCCATCTCTTCCATGCCCCACTGCCCAGGAGAGCAGAGAAAGAGGAAGAGCTCTTGGCCCAGTGCAGTTCCCACACAGTTCTCCCGATGTGGGGGCTATCTCGGGACCAGTAACATGTGGCGGCTTAAATACCAGGTTACAGACAATAGTCTGCTGCGCTTGGGAGAGGGCGGTACTGACTTGGTGGCTGGAGCAGACCCAGGAGGCATGAGGGGCTCCCAGCAGCAGCCTTGGGCTCCCTCTTCTGCTTGGCTCGTGTGTCCCACAGCATGACCCCCTGAACCAGGGGGTGGGGTGGGGGTGAAGAGCGGAGGCCTGAAGAAGACCTCAGTTTCCAAGCATACCCCAGAGCTGCCCCAACTCTGAAGGCTGGAGGTCAGTCTGGGGACAAGGAGCCTGTGCCATCACCACCAGGCTCCTCCCCCCTCCCCCCACCCCGCTCTGACTCATGAGCAGGGCCAGAGCCGCCAGGAGTTGCAGGGCAGAGGAGGCCCTGGCTCATACTTGGACCTCGGTAGTGCGGCTGGCCCAGCGCTATCCATGCAGGGAGGCCTGCACCTCTGACAGTCGGCTACAGCTTGGGGTGCTCATCCGCTGTGCTTTGTGGTACATGTCTGCATCGCCAAAGTAGCGGGCCCGGTATAGCAAGCCTTCCTCTGCAAAGCAATGGGGCAGGGTTAGGACACAGCTGGTAGAGCCTGAGGCCTGCTAGAACCTGTCTGGCCTGTGGGGACAAGAGAAAGGCTGTTACAGGCCCAGGAGCTGGAGCAGAGGACTTAGGTAGGACTCTGAAGGAGCAAAGACTATGGTCCCCACTGGGACCGTCTTTAGATAGAGGGGGAAGCCCCTTTCTGTAGAATGGGGGTGAGGCCGGGCAAGGTAAGAACCTGTCATCCTGGTCACAGCTTCCCAGAGTCCTGGAATTAGAGCCTGATGCCAATCACTGGGTGACCAGGAGATCTGCTCCAGTCTCTCTCTACATAGTTACCTCTGGCAGCCAGAGCAGGGGCTGACTGCAGCGACCCCGGCTGCCTGCCCCAGGGTAACGCAGGGGTGGAACTCGGCTCGTGGCTGGGAGGTGGTGGGCGCAGGGCAGGGCAGGGCCAGGTGCTGGGCCCACGGACCCCTGGGCAAACAGGGCTTTCTCCTTCCCTGTCTCAAGCTCCGTGCCCCTAACACATGCGCACTCACTCTGCTGCTTCTCCTTCCAGCAGTTGTTTCGGAGGTTGGCGATATAATCATCTTCCACGTTCCGTTCTACTGTTTTCAGGCTGGAGCCCGTGTACTCCTTAGAGAAGGTGTCTGCCACGTAGTAGACGACGTTCAGGTGGTCGGTGATGCGCTTGTGAACGTGGCCCACCGACCTGGCCAACAAAAGACCGGGAACAAAGTGGGCCTGGGGCCCAGGCCCAGGGTGGCTCTAGGGATGACAAAGCTCCTGACAGGAGGTGCCACACAGGCCACAGGACTGGGGTGCCTCCCTCCCAAACTAGAGCGGGAACTTGCGCACCACCCAGAGTGAGGGTCTGACACAAAGCAGGTGACCCTCCAGCACGAGTGGCCCAGGCTATCTGTTGCAAGCCCTTCCTCAGGTTCCGTGCTTACCACACTGCTGACTCGGGACCCTGGGGAGAAGCCCCTTTCTCAGATGCCCTGGTCAGGGAAGTAGGGAACCTGGGGCGAGTCTGGGCTCCCTCTCCAGTGAGCTGTGGGACCTGAGCTCCCTGTGCCTCCGGCTTCCTCATTCATCTCCTAAGCCAACCCTTGCTGAGGGCCTGCCTACCTTCCCAGGAGCTGCTAGTCTAGGGTTAAAAGGCTTAGGAGGAAAATGACAAGAAGGGTTCCAAACAGCTCCATCTTTCCAGCTCTTGGATTCTATATTCCTGCTCCAAATGCAGGCTCAGAGGCTGTGGGAAGAGCCGCAACACACAGATGGGAGTCAGTGCTCCAGGTGAGGACAGCACCTGCCTGCCCACTGCTGCCTGTCCTCTTTCCAGTAGAGAGAAGGGCTGCCATCAGGACAAGGAGAGTGGGCAGGGCTGGTGTGGGCCTAGTGGACTGATTCTGCCCCCTGCTGGCTGAGCAGGATGCTGCCAGGCTCCCAGCCAGTGCCAAGCCACTTGGTGGGACCTGAAGGCTTCCACCAATAGAAGCTAAGCACCCCCACCATGTATCAGATACTGTCAGGTGCTAGGAATAAATTAGGGGGGCCAACACCTTAAATGGTAAAATAACTTGCCCAAGTTCACTACTGGTGGTTGATACCATATATTTATTCAACAAATGTTGAACATTTCCAATCAGCCTGAAACTTTTACTCATTTAATTTCCACAAGCAGGTAAATGTTGTTCCCATTTTACAGATGAGGAAACCAAGGCTCAGAGAAGTTATATAACTTGTTCAGGGTCACACAGCTGCTCAGTTAGTAGAGGAGCTGGGATTCGAAGCCACCCTTGGGTCTGTCTGACACTAAAGGCCTTGCTCTTTCCATGGTCCTAAGGCCCCCATCCTGAACCTAAGAGCAGAGATTCTTATGTCAAGGTCCACAGATAAGACTGTGGGAGGGTGGGGGTCATGCAAAAGAGTATGTGCCAGGTTCTAGGGAAAAGATCTGCAGTTTTCATTGCATTTTCTTAGGGAAACGTGATCCTAAAAAGATAAGAACTTCTGTTCAACAGGAAAGTGTGTTTTCTCGATTCTAGGCCAGCCTTCTGCATTATGACCAAGAACCTGCAGGATGGGAAGGGAGACCCCTGATGGTGGCTGAAACTCCAAAGTCCCCATCTGCCCACCACCCTGGCCTCACCCCCGGCTACCAGTACTCACGGCCTCAGGCTCAGACTGTAGGGCGGACTGGAAACCATGAGCTGGCTGAGAGCTGACACGAGGATCAGGATGAGGATGGGCATCAGTTGGACAAATACCCCCAGCCCGCCCTGCAGGGAAGAGCCAATGGTCACCGGAGCCAGACCTGGGTGGGCGTGTGCTGTTGGCCACAGTCACCACCAGCTCCCCCTGCACGGTGCAGCCCAGGTGTCGGGAGGCAGTTACCACGCGCAAACAGGCCATGACACCACTCTCTCCCCTCTCCCCACACAGCTCCCCAAAATACAGAACACCCTCCATCTGCCACCCTCCCCTGACAAAAACAAAATAGCAGTCGGTATTAAATACAGGAGGAAGGTGGGCATATGCATTTCCTTGTGGGAGAATAACAAAAAATGAGCGGAGGTGGCTGCCTCCAGAAGAATGGGAGACAGAGCTGGAGGGAGACTTTCACTACATGTCATGTAACTTTTTGAATGTTATCAATTTAAAAACTGCCAGTTAAAACTTTTAAGTACAAATAAATTTGTTCACTGTGTGACAATTTGTAATTTTAAAACTCTTCTTCTGTATGTTAAATAATACACAAAATGAAAGTTTAAAAACAAATAAATAAAAACATAAGGCCACACTGTCACAGCAAAAGGGAACCCCTCTGCCTGCCATAATTTAAAATGCTCCACCCCGTCCACAGGATTTTAATTCCAGTTAGCTAGCTGTTCTCATGGCAGTCAAAATGTGTCTGAGGCATTGTCCTGTTACACTTTTGCATAGTTTTCTGAGCGTTGCAAAGACTGGAGTGAACACCTATGCTGTTGTCCTTTACAATTCTTTCATGGAGCCTAACTTTCCATTGCTTGGAAAATGTTGGCCTCACAAACAAATGAGCTGCACAAAGGCCATTCACACTCAAACCTGTCTATAGGTGGAAAACATTCTGCATTACATTCTCCAAAGGAGGCCATCCAGTCCCTGCTCCTTCTGGTGGGCAGTGTGGAGTGTGGCTCCCTCTGGTGGTGCTCAGCAGAACGACAAGGGAGGCCCAAGATGGCTCCCGGGCTGAGAGTTGTGGGAACACTGCCATCCCAGAATAGACAGCTGGGCATGTCACTATCCCCTCGAGGCCCCACATCCTGTGGTGGGGCCCTCCCCTCCTCTCCCAGCACCTTCTTCACTCACGTCACCCTGGTTCTCCCTGCGGTCCTGCCTTTGCTGGTAGTTATAGCGCATACGGCCATTGCTGTAGACATGGACGTTACCTGGGGGTCAGAGGGGCTGAGTCAGGAGTGGGGCTGCTGGGAAAGGGAGAGGCTGGCATCCAGTCTCCCACCATCATCCCGGGTGAGACTGGGCTGATGGGGAGTGGAGGGGAACTTACTAGATGGGAAGCCACCACCAAAGAACATGTTGAAGAGGTCCTCGGGGGAGATGTCCGCCTCGAAGCCGCGGTGGAAGTCCCCGTGCCCGTGGCCATGCCGGGCCGCCTGGCTCTTGTCATCACCAAACTGGTCATACTGCTTCCTCTTCTCTGGGTTGCTGAGCACTGCGTACGCTGTGCCAATGGCTGGAAAGGAGGTAGAAAGGTCAGGCCTGGGCATGCTGGGGGTGTGCGGGACACAGCTCCCCTGGCCGCCAACAGCTCACCTCTTTCAGGTACTTAAGTGGTACTTAGGAAGCAGGAGTCCTCAGGCCCAGCAGGAAGTCCTGGCGGGGGTGGGGGGGTGGGGGGGTAGGAGGGTGGGGGCGTTGCGTACAGGGATGCCTGGGTGAGTCTGGGCCGCCTGGGCTGGGGCAAGGATTAACACTCAGGCTCCTTGCTCTCCACGCTGAGAATCCACCCTTTTCTACACAGCAGGCCCTTTATGGGCATTATCTTACTCCTAACAGCAACCCTATCTCCATTCACCAATGAGAAAACTCAGAGTGTAAGCTCGTGGAGCTCTGACGGGACAGAGCCAAGAGTCAAACCCAGGAGTGTCTTGCTTCAAGTCTAGTCCCCAACTTTATAAAGAGCACCAGTCTCCGCCCCAACCCCATTTCTTTCTCTCTTTTTTTTTTTAACAAACATTTTATTTTTTTATCTTTAGAGGGGAAGGAAAGAAGAGAGGGAGAGAAATGTCAATGTGTGGTTGCCTCTCGTGCGTCCCCTGCCAGAAACTGGCCTGCAACCCAGACATGTGCCCTGACTGGGAATCAAACGGGGATCCTTTGGTTCGCAGGCCGTGCTCAATCCACTGAGCTATACTAGCCAGGGCCATTTCTTTCTCTTGAAGTACCCAATGGATGAAGCATTCCTTTCTGGAGGTTATGTAATCATGAAGTCACAGTGTGACCTGAGGGCCAAACAGATGTGTGACATCCTGCTAAAAACTGGAAGTAGCGGAGCCCTGGCTGGTGTGGCTCAGTGGATTGAGCACAGGCCTGCGAACCGGGGGATCACGGTTCGATTCCCAGTCAGGGCGCATGCCTGGGTTGTAGGCCAGTTCCCAGTGGGGGACCCACGGGAGGCAACCATACACTGATGTTTCTCTCCTTCCTTTCCCCTCTGTAAGATAAATAAATAACCCCTCTGTAAGATAAATAAATAAAACTTAAAAACAACAACAACAACAAAAACTGGAAGCAGCAGAATGGCAGGGAACTGCCAAATCCCCAGTTCTAGTCCTGGCTTTTCTGCTGGGGAAAGTGTGGCCTGGGCGAGGAGCCCTCTCTTCTCGGGGTCCAGGCCACAGCTGCCAGTGTTCTGGGCTTTCCCTGTGGAGGTGGGAAGCCTGGGCCCCACAGGACCCCAGCCTGGGCCCTCCTGAGTCTCTTGCTCCCTCTTAAGGGGCCCACTCTCTCACAAGGGTGGGTCAGAGCTGCATCTGCTTCGGAACTTGCAGCCCCCGAGAACGAGGTGAATGCGCCCCCCCATTCTCACAAGGCCCCCAGGCCAGGTGCAGCCTCTCAGTGCCCGTCGGGAAGGCTGCAGGCAGAGGTCAGGGCTGGGGAAGCGTTAACCTTGGCCTCCTTGCTTCCCTGCTCCCATTTTCCTTTTCCCTCTGGGGCTGACTGATGCTTGCAGACTGCCCACGCAGGACCAACCCCAAGGAGCACCTGGGTGGGCCCCGGGGACAGCACACCAGGTCAGGGGGCCTGCTGTGCCACGGGATCCCCGCCTGGCCACGGTCACGGCCCCAGGGCAGTGCAGCGCCCTGCCTGGGCTAGGAGAGGCCATTCACCATGCTATTTCCCTGAGGGAGGTGAATCTAAGATCCTGACGGTCCCACGGAGGACAGGGAGGGCATGAGAGGAGACGTCTGGGGGAGATCTGGACGTGCAGCGCCCAGTGACACGGTGCTGGCAGCACCTGTACACGTGTGTGGGTCCAATGAAAGTATAACCGATTAAAGCAGCTGCTGCTTCCGGCCAGAACAGAAACGCCCATCCCAGAACCAACAGGCCCTGAGGCCAGAGAGACCGCCGCCCCCCACCCCCGTCCCACCCCCACAGGCCCTAGGGTGTGTGCGGTGTAGAGGGACAGACGTATGTGTGAAGGGAGCTGGGCTGGGCTGGCTACGGCTGCTGATGCTGAGGAGGCCACCAGGCCAGGGGCCTGTGCCCGGGAGTGGCCCAGTTTCCCCGCACAGAGATCCCAGAGGGCGAACACAGCAGGACTGCGTCTGCCCCTCAGTCACCGTACAGCCTGGAGAAGCCACTGTCCTTTCACTCAGCCCCCTCCTATAACCTCCAGGGGATGAGGGGGAATGGGAGGCCGGACAGTGCCACCCGAGATCTGACCGATTCTGCGTGGCTGGAGGCGGCTACGGGGACCTTCCTCCAGGAAGCAGCTCCTGAGCCAGGAGACTTGGGTCCACAGCTGCTTCCTGGGAAAGCCCCCTGTTCTCTTCCAAGGACAAGAGATAAAAACACCAAAATACCAGGAAACCAGGGCCAGCTTACCTTTGAACGCTTCCGTGGCGCCAGGTGCGTGGTTCTTGTCTGGGTGGAATTTGAGGGCCAGTTTGCGGTAGGCCTTCTTCAGGTCCTCGTCTGAGGCCCCTCTGCTCACTCCCAGGATCTCATAGTAATCTTTACACTGCTTGACCCTGGGGGAGGGAGACGAGCATGGTGGGGGAGGTCTCTGTGGACCCCGGCCGTGACGGGGGTGAGCGGGAACCAGCAGCGTGAGCACACAGCTCTGGCCAGGCTCACAGGCACACACTGTCAGACTCTGGGGACAGGGAGCTTCAGACAGCTCCAGCAGGGACGGGGATTTGGGCAGGGGCCAGAGGAACACCAAGAATACGTTTAGGGTATAAGAGGGGGCAGCTGCTGTGTTTGCCAGACTGGGAAGCACCCCTCTTTGCTAGCAGCACTCTTATTTCAGGCAACCTCGGGGCTGCATCGGGGCCGCCACCCAGGGACAGGTGTGTCCCAAGCTTGACCAGCTAGCTCCTCTCCTTGCAATTTGAGTCTTGAGTGGGCACCAAAAAAGGCTTGGCAGGTGTTGTTCACCCCACCGCAGGGCCCTGAAGAGACCCTGCTTCCCTCCCATCAGTTCTGACTCCTGGGGTCGCGGAGACCCTGACTTTTCCCGGCATTCCTAACTCCCCACAGTCAGTTTCCATTGCCTGCAACTGGTAGGTCTGTCTGGTCAAAACCCTGTCTGGTCAGAAAAATGTACATTTGGCTTATGTTTTTCTGTAAACTATACTGTTAGGTCACACGCAGGCCGAACCCCATGGGAACGACCTCAAAGGGGTCCCAAGGGTGGTGAGCGGGGAGGCCTGGGGAGGAACGTCAGCCTGAGAAGCCTCGGCTGGGCCGTCTCGGCCTGGCAGCGAGCTGCCCCGTGCAGGGCCCGCCCAGGCCTTGGAGGGATAACTGTCTCCTGTCTCCACTCTGCCCCACACAGGCTCTGTCTGAAAGGGTCTTTGTTGGGGGTGGGGTTGTGGGGGGGCGGTCGGAGGGGAGACCAGGCATCCTCTCTGCCTGACAAACAGAGCTGTGTGAAGGAAGAGCAGAGGAAGCCAGCGGAGTCAGCATTTCCAGCCTCTGCTGTGGGTCGTCTTGGAGGGAGAGGACCATGAAGCCCTGGTTCCCACACTGTATTCTGGGGTCTTACCTTCCCTCTCTTTAAGACCCTCCCAGGGCCCATCCACACCACAGGCAGATGTGAGGTGGAGGATGCACTGAAGGGAGGGAAGCCTTCTCCCAACTTGAAACCTCCCCGCCACCTCCAGGCCCCAGCCTCTGCTGGCTAGGCCCAGCCTGCTACCTTTTCACAGCTGCTACTTGTTCCGAGGTGTAGCCTTTGGTGGTCTCTCCTCCTCCGGCTTCACCATTGGCCGAGGGCGCGTCGGACCCACCTGCTTTCCTATGGGTCGCATGGGTCGTGTCTGTGGGTTGGGGTTGGTCACTGGCAGACTGTGGTTTCTGGTTGAGGGACTCGATCAGGGCTGTGCAAAGCAAGGAGACCAGTCAGGGCCTGGATCCAGCAAGGCTACATGTCTGACTGAGGGGCCAAACAGCCCCCGGAGGCCAGGGCCCCACCTGCTTATTCTTCCTGCAAAGCCACTAGCTTCTTGCCTGACTGGAGCCTGCAGCAGCTAGTGGGACAGTCGCCTGCTCTCTTAGGATCCTAGGTCCTCCGGAGTCAGCAGGGTGTATGCAGGCCATTTTAAACTTAGCATAAGCCCTCCCTCCCCCCAAAACAAACTCAGCATAAAAACAATTTTTTTCTTTTTCCTGTTCCCCAAAATAAACTATCAGTCCTTCTATTGCTTGTTTTAATCCTCACCCAAAGACATGTTTCCAACTGATCTGTTTAGAGACAGAGGAAGGGAGACGGAGAGAGAAACACTGATGTGAGACACGCCAATGGGCTGCCTCCTGTGTACATGCAGGGACTGAACCCGCAACCTCGGCACATACCCTGACTGGGAATCGCACTGCAGCCTTTTGGCGATGGGACAACGCTCCAACCGACTGAGCCATACGGCCAGGGCAATCCTTCAGATTTTTCAACAGCTATTCTGTGAAGAGCCGAGGTGGGTGAAGTACTTTGCAATGGGGACCCCACTAGCAGGGACCACCCGACTCAGCTGGGAGGGGTCAGAACGGCTAGCTGGAGGCCTTCGCCTAGCCATGGAGAGGGGTGGGGGCAACGACCCTGCCCCACAGGGCCAGGAGTGGTGTGAGACCCAGGATGAACATCTGCTGTGTTCACTCCTCACTAGTTTTTACATTTTTCAAGGGCTGGCCATGTCAGATGACTGCCCTACTTCAATGTTCAGAGTCTACACAGAACATTAGCTGTTGCTAATACAGGGGCCCTCAGACAGGGCTTGGTCATTTATACTCAAGCCCTTGGTTTCTGCTGACTCAATAACAGCAAGCTCAAACCTCTAACAGAAGTCCCCTGTGCCCATTTATTCAGACACAAATCAGTTCTGAACCCCCAGTCACGCCTGGGGTGCAGTGTCCTGGGAAACTGGGTGCCAGACCACTGCAGGGACCCAGGACACCTCTGAGCTGAAGAGCCACAGCAGCACAGCCCGCGGCTCCCCAGGCGCCGCACTGAGTGGCAGACACTCTGTGCCGCAGCACACCTGGGTCTCAGCAGGGGCCTAGGGCAGGGCTGGCAGAGGGCAGAACACTGGTACTCAAGTGAACCAGCGTGCCCCGAGCCACTGCTGTCTCGGTTGCAGCAAACTCCCAGGACCTCACGGAGCCAGCAGCTGGGAAGTGCACACACAGGAGCTGCTGACCGGGCCTGTCCCACCCTAAGGGAGGTGAAGGGGTTCCTATGGGAATCCTGAGACGGCGCCGAGTGCTCGGTGTGCCTGACAGGCCTGGACACGGGGCTCCGCGTGCGTTAGCTCATCCAGTCCTCACAACAACCCTGAAGGTCAGTCTCATTACCACTACCCCATGGTAAGAAGGAGCCGTGTACGACTGCACATGTGCGTGACTGACGAGCTGGGCAGGCAGCACTCCAACCCCAAGACATCCAGCTCACGGGGCCCTTGCTCTTCACTACGCTGTTATCCCAGACCACACGAGTCGGGCAGGGGAGCCCCTTCCAGCAGGGCCATTCCAAGGAGAGGAGAGAGGTTAAATTCCGAAAGACCCAGGTTTCAAATCTCAGCTATACCCTAACAACACGTCCCTGGTCCCCCTGAGAAACCTCTGAGTGTCGGTTTCCTCACAATGGGGCGGGCAGATGAAGTGAGGTAGTGTGCGTACCCACACGGCAGGGAGACCGATGCAGAGCGCAAGTCCAGATGAGCAGCTGCTAATATTATGGCCTGGGCTGATGAATTAGCTGGTCAGGGAAATGAGGGGACCCGAGGTATGTGTGGGTGGGGGTGGGGTGGGAGACTGGGGAGCTCCAAGGCCTGGGCAGGCAAAGTTTCAGCACCCAGCAGACTTTGGACCCGGGTGCAACCATGGCATTGCAGCTTGTCCCACATGCGGGGTCCATGCCAGGCGTTGGGGGACATGGAAAAGGAGGAAACCAACAGATGCCGATCACAATGCACAGAGGGAGGAAGCCTGCTGCTTTACTAGGTGTTTAAGGGCTTTTACAGAAGTGCCTTATTTTGATTTCTCTGGAAGCCCCAGTGGTCCAGGCCAAGTTCATTTACCCTAAGCACAACATGACCAGCCATTTGATCGCCACTGAACAGCAGCCGGGAGAGGGGACAGACTCGCTCCAGTACTTCTCAGGGAAGATTCTGGAAGCTTTCCAGGGCAGTTCAATGTGAAGTCTAATTTCCCAGTGCTGCCAAGAGAGCTCAAAGGGGAAGAGATGCGCTCTGGGTCAGACGGGAGGTTCCTGCTTGAGTTGGCAACCAGAGCTTTCTGGTTGCTGACAAGCAGGCCTCTCTTATGGCCCAGGCACCCATCTTTCAGGCCTGTGGGATGTGACTGGCTGGTCCTGACTCACCACTACATTCCTTACTGGCTTAGTGGCTTGTAGGCAAATGTCACAAAAGAGTAGGAGATATAATGTAACTCTGGAGTTAGACAGACATGGCTGGGTTCAAATCCTAATTCTGCACCTTCCCAGTAAAGCTGGCAGGCGTTTAAAAAGAAGGAACTTGGTAGAAGAAACCAAGGCTGGGGTGGGAATGGGGGCAGCGAAGGCAGAGGGGAAAGCACGTCTACAGCCAAAGACACCAGGAGGGGCCCCACCTCAAACCCAGACTGGAGACTCGGACTGCCTGGGTTCGAACCTGGCTCTGCGCAGGCTGGCGAGTTCGTCTTGACTAACTTAGCTTCTCCATACAGAACTGTATCTCCCATAAACACGTATGAAGAAGTAGCACAGCTTCCAGTGAATATTAAGTGTTGTTATCTATTACTTTCATTTCCAGGCTCTATGTGCCTGCAGTGTCAAAGTGAGTCGGGAAAGGGAGGCCAGTGTAGGGAAGGAGTCGGAGTGGAGCTGGACAGTGTGGTTTTCCCGCTAATCATTCATGTACCCGTGTCTGGTTATCTCATTCCTCAGTGAAGGTACGATCTCTGCTTCACAGGGTTGCTCTGACGGGTAAAAAGACCCAGTGAAATCAGAAGAATGGAAGGGGCGAGCACACAGTGAGGTTCACAAAGGCTGACTGACCTGAATGGACAACCCCTCTAAACCCCACCAGTACTAGAACATCTCTCGGTCCTAGACCCTGAATGCCAGAATCTCTTGGCAATACATCCTCCCTTCTCCCCGCGATGGCTTCCCACCTTGGCCTTCCTGACCTAGCCTGGACCCAAAGCCGCGAGCTCAGAGCACCTAAGGCAGCCTGAGCTGCAAGATCATCCAGGCCAACCCTTTCTTTGTATGGTGGGGAAAGTAAGGCCTACAGACATTTGCATCAGCTCCCCGGGAAACCTGGTACCTTCCACCATTGTTGCTAAGCCTCAGGCAAAGCCAGTGTGTACTAGGCTGCTAGGCACTGGATAGACGCTCCCAGAAAGGGACTGACTGGCTCCACTAGCCCTGCCCAGGGGCACCCAGCTTAGAGCCTGGCTACTGCTCCACTGTATGACTGTCCGCTCCTTGGTGCCTCCGTCCCACTTCCTGAAGCATGAGTTTCAAGTCCCCTCAAATCTTTTCACTGTGAAGCCCCTTAGCCCTTCAAATTGCTCTGAGCCTCCTCTCACCCTAACCCTTCGGTCTGTCCTTCCACTTCTCCTTCCGTGCTCTTGATCCTTCCTTTCATTCTTTAACTTGTCCTTTTCCCACCTGGCCTTTGCAGCACCTGACAGTGCTGCTCACCACCTCCTTGAAACACTGCTCCACGGCTACCTGGCAGCTGCTCTCCCCTGGGACTGCCTCTTCCTGCTGTTGCTCCGCCCCACTCTGTACAGGACTAAGGGTGGCCAGCAGCAAGCTCCTCTACGTGTTCCACACTAGCCCACAGTGACTTCCATCAGGCAGAACTGCGGTGAGCTCCATCGAACAGAGGCCAGGCATTCAGCGAGAACCTGAAGCTCTCTCTCCTGAGCTCCACGCTGACAGCAACTTTGGAGCAACCCACCGGCACCTCGCACTCTGGCCATCTCTTCCTATCCATGCTTCTTAGCCTTGCTTTCTTCCCAGTCCCATGGGCCTGGATTCTGAATGCCCATTTCTCCTTAGCATCGCTCTTGACAGGCTGACCGTACCCTCCTCCAGACTGTCTTTATCTCAGGCCCTCCCAGCTCCTCACCTACTCAGTGTGACTGTCTCCCAGCTAGTTTCTGCCTTGAGTCTCTCTTCCCTCTTATTAACACTTCACATTGTTCTAAGAAAAATACCCTTATCTTATTCCTGCCACCTAAAACTTCAATTTTTCTCCCCCACTAACTATAGAATAAAATGAATATCCTGGCTTGGCAGGATAGGACTTCCACAGTCTGGAAATCCCACTCCATCCCACTTTCCAAATGAAATCCTTTCTGTACTTACATCACCACCTCCACAGCCTCCAGGTCTTTCTACACGCCATCTCTCCCTCCAAACCTCCTCCAGCTTCCAGCCTCCACATCTTTCTTCCAGGAAGCTCTTCTCTAAGTCTCCTGCCTTCCTCCAAAATCCCATTCAAATGCTACCTCCCATACTCCTTCCTGAACTCTTTCCTCACTGTGACTTACCATTATTTTTGTGTCCTTGCTACAGCACTGTCTTGCCTGTAATTTAATTTTCAGGAGATTATCCTCCATGTCCCCCATTCCCAGTACTTCCCTCCATCTCATCAGGCTGTGAACTCATGGAAGGCAGGAACTGATTTTTTCAAGTTGATCCTTAAGCCCTCAGTACCTGACATTGCTTAATTTTATATATTTTTTAGTCTTTACCCGATGATAAATTTATTGATCTTAGAAAGGGAAAGAAAAACATTGATGTGAGACAGAAATGTTGACTGGCTGCCTCCTGTACGCGCCCTGACTGGGGATTGAACCTGTGATGTTTGGTCTACAGGACGACACTCCAACGATCTAAGCCACTTAGCCAGGGTTTGACTCGCTCTTATTGTTTTGTGGCTTACAATATTATCTTTTTTTCTGTAATTTGTCTCCCTCACTAGATTGTAAGCTACTTAAAGCAAAGGATTATGCCTGACCAATCAATCCTGCTCACCACTTAAAGCCAAGCAGAGGACTTCACAAGCAAAACAAAAATGTTTGTTGCATTGAGTAGGTGTCTAGAATGAGTTCAAACCTCACATACTGAGTGTGGACAATACTACCTTGTATTTTTCTCACCGAGATTTCCCCATCCCAGGCCTAAATGAACCCCAAGTCCTTGTCAGTTCAGTACAGGGTCATAGATGGCACAAGGTGATGTTTACAGAGAGGCATGTACTCATTCCAGAACATCAGAAGTATTACAAACATGCAGCAGGTGACTCTTCTGCCAGAGCAAATTCCAGTGCTAGAGCCCCAGGAGGGACACCTCTCAAAGCCCTTGAACCAGCCCAGGAGGCCTGGTGACAGGAAGACCTCCACAGGCTATATCGCTACCATCCTCTCCTGGCTGCCTGCTCCGGAGCCCCCAGAGAGAATTCTCAGGGCTGAAGGGCCCCTAGCCCACCCTGCTCTTCTCTTACACAGTGTGACATTTCATAGAGAAGCTCCTTGAGGGGACTACCTCAGCAGTCCTGGCAAATACAGACCGAAACCCTCTCCAAGAGAAGGCAAACAGGGCAAAAGAGCAACACGCAGAGTCAGGAAGCAGGAAAATGCAGGCATTCCAGGCCGCCTCTCCTGCCACGGTTCCCTCTTCTCAATTTCGTGGTGTGGGCAAGGACAATTTGGAGGCCGACTGCTGCTCTCCACTCTCACCTTACTCCTTTAGAAAGATTACATGTATAGAGTCACAGAACTTTCCAATTTCTAGCTGTGCGATACTGGGCAAGTCCCTGGCCTCTGAGATATGTCTTCATCTACAAAACAAAGATAACCATCTTTGCTCTGCCTCCCTGATAGGGCAAGGTCAAGTGAGAAAATGCATTTGAAAGAGCCTTCTAAAAGGGAAAGCCTATGGGTTTTACTGTTATTTACGTTATCTGTGTCAACCCTTTAATTTTCTAGGTGAGTAAACCCAAGCACAGAAAAGTCACATGGTAGCAGTCAGGATGAGAATGCAGGTTTTCTGATTGAGTACCTGTTTATGCCAGACAGTTTACTAAGTGGTAACTGCTGGCACAAGCCCTGTTATCTTTAATGGATGATCTATTTCTGTCTTCCAGTATTAAGAAAAACTTCTTTAAAGACTTAGGTTCAAGAAAAAAAAGAGGGTTCCAGGGTACAGTGAGATGCTCAGCAGTGGAGACCACCTCACTTTTCCCTCCCTGGTTTGTAAGTCTTCTTTCAGACCAGGGCCACAGAGCAGGACAGCCCGCATTCCTGGGAAAGAGGGACGTGGGGATGTGGAGTAGTTGGCGCCGACGGCTCCAACAAGTCAGTCCTCTCAAAATGTGACAAACGGGTGAAGAGGCTCCAGGAGGGAGTGAGAAGGCCGATCTCAGGGCAGATCCTCCAAGGTGGTGGTGTGGAGCGGGGAAGAGGGGGTGGGGAGGGACGGAGAAGGCAGGCGCTAGTTTTGGGAGGGTGGTCCCTGGCCTTCACCTGGAAACGTGCAAGGGAGCGAAGACATGAGGAGGCCTCTGCAGGCAGTCTGAAGATCGGAAGTCTCTTTGCCTCCCTAGAACCCATTTTCCTCGTCAGAGTAGTTATGTTTATTAAACTATATTTCCCAGGCCGGCAACTGGCCCTGGGCCACGGCCCCTTGGGAAAAGTAGTTTGATTTCGCTTTTAGGTAAGTTCCGTTTGCCTCGTCTGCCAGCGCCTTGTATTCTTGGGAACTCCAAATCTCAGAGGGTTCCGCAAACACCCAGAAAGCTGAAGTCGCGGTCGCCCCTGCCATCAGGTGTGCAGCACCCCGGAGAGCCGTGGGAGCCGCAGACTGCACCTCCCAGCAGCCACTGCGCGTCTCAGAGCGCAGGCGTAGCCGCGCCTCGCCACCCCTCCCCCTCCTCCAACTGCTCCTGTCGGTCCGTTCCCGTATTCCCCCCATTAGATCTAATGTCCCCTCTGTCTCACCGGCGCCTCACACTCACAGCGAGCTCGCGGCGTCGGGTACAGCCTCTGCGCCTTCTCCAGGAAGCGGAGCGCTCGGTCGGGCTGGTTGCTCTGGATGGCCTTGAGGGCAATGCTGATACAGCGCTCGGCTTCATCCTTGTTGGATTCCATGGCGGAACCAGAGCGCGGAACCTGGGAGGGGGAGGCCCGGCGAGCGAAGGGCTGCGCCAGCCGCCGGCGCGTCGCTGGGCAGGCGGGCGCGGGATGATGACACAACCGTCTGCCCCTCCTTTTCCGAGATTTGAGTGAGGGCGGAAGGCTACCGTAAGTCTTCTAAGAGGGAGGCACTAAGAGAGGTGTTAAGACTGCACGTCCACGTTTTTGGAGGCCGAAGGATTATATTCAGAGGTCTGATAAAGTTGAGTATGCTTGCACGTTCTTGATAGTAACTCCGTGCGTTATTCATTCAACAGGTATTTGGGAGAACTCACTGTTTGCCACGGTGCGTATACAGTGGTGAACGAAACAGAGCCCCTGCCCTCTGGGAGCTTACATTCTAATGTGTGTAAGGGGGTGAAAAGATATTCCCTAAAGAGGTGTATTCAAATAGTGATAAATGCTATGGAGAAAAATAAAGGGATGGAGAGTATAAAGGTACTGTTTTAAACGGCCCCATAAGAGAAATCTCTCAGAAGCTGTTGTTTTAATAGAAATCTGAATTCGGGAGAGAAAGCAGGTGTTCCAGATGTGACTATCTGGAGGAAGAAGGGCGGTCCAGGCAGAAGGAAGAAGGAGCAAATGTAAGGACTCTGAATCAGGAACTTTGCCTGGTGAGTTAACAAGATCAACAAGGAGAATACACCATGGGGCGGGAGGGGGGGGGGATACACCATAGGGGGCATGTCTGGATCGCTATAGAGTGGGATTCAGTTCCATCAGGCTTTCCTGCCCACCGTTCCAGAGAATGCAAGTTACCAATGACTCATATTGCCGAATCCACTGTTTTTTTCTCAGTCCTTATATTATTTGGCCTCTCAAGCAGGATTTGGTTAAGAGGCCCCTTAAGAGGTAAGGGTTAGAAGGCTACGGCTATAATGAGGGAGAGAATGGATGGTAACTTGGATAGGGCAATGGTGAGAAGCATTTCAATTCTGGATGTATTTTAAAGACAGAATCCAAGTGATTTTGCTGATGGCTTGGAGGGGAGATGATTCCAAGATTTTTGGCCCAAGTAAGTGGAGGAACAGTTTCCATGTACCAGAAAATGGGGGGAAAACAGAGCCACACCTTGGTAGGGGAAATATTAAATGTTTAATTTAATTTGAATGTGATGCCCTTTAGAATTCAGTGAAAATATAGAATAGGGAATTGTACACATGTATGGTTTAGGAAAAAGATGGGGCTGGAAATATAATTTTGGAAGTTATCGGTATATATAAATGGTATTTAAAGCTATGGGAGCAGATGGACAAAGGAATATAAATAGTATTTAAAGCTATGGGACTGAATGCATCCAGGAGGGAGTGTGGATAGGGAGCAGTGGGAGTCTGACTCCTCCTCCCTTTGACGCCGCCGTTTACAGGTGTAGAAGAGGAGAACCCGGGAAGGTGGCATGAAGAAGCAGCCCTGCCAGGTAAGAACATCAGTTATTTCAGAAGCCAAGTGAAGCAAATGTTTCAAGCAGGAGGAATCAAACTTCGGCAAACCATGCAGAGGCCAAGCCATGTGAAGACTGAGAAATGACCAATGGATTTGACAATGTGGGGGGTCACTGGTGACCTTGACAAGATTTCTCTTGGTGGATGGTCGAGCTGAAAACCCTGTGGAAATGGAGTCAAGAGAGTGAGGGAGGAATGGAGTGGGAGTGGAGAGGAATGTGGGGAAATTTTGTTTTGTTCTCCTTTTTAAAGCTGGGATATATTATAGCACTCAGGGATAGAATTTCTGGGTGGGAAAGAAAGTAGACAACTCCAGGAGTGGACAGAGGAGGTGGGATCTGGGGCACAAGCGAGGGGATGGTCTTAGCTGCGTGGACAACTCACTGCTTTTCAGGAGGGATGGGAGTGTGGCTGGGTACGCTTGCCGGGCAGCTGGTGAGTGTGGAAGTGGGGACATGAGGAAACTCTCTTTGGGTAATTTTTGTTTTCTCAGTGTAGTAAGAAGCCAGGCCATGGCCTCCTTGGCTACACATGTCACTCCTTTCCATTCCCACTGTTCCCTTCCCGGTTCAAACTCTCATGACTCCACGCTGGCCTGACAGAGTGTCCTGGTGGTGAAGAAATGAGCCCTCAACAGAGAGCCTTACACTTAGAGAAAGTGAAGCTCTTCGAAAACTGACAGGTCCTTTGCATGTGTTAGTGGAGACACACCGGGACCCCTTTCAAATAGTCCGGCTGAGGTTTGCTGACTGAGGACTGCACCGTTCGTCTTCCTCTTCCCTGCTGTTGATGTAAGAAACGTCCAAAACCATCGAGGATTTTTAGGAGTTTATTTCAGCCAAACTGATGACATTGCTGGGAAGCCAGATCTCAAATGCTCTTGAGAATGTTAGTTCTGCAGTTTCCTTTATGAATTTGGAACATAAGGAAGATTAGATGAAGGTGGGAGGAAGCAAGGCAGGGACAAGATAGTTAAGATTATATGCTCTCTCCAGGGTGGTTAAGTTCCTGGAGGTCCGAAACAGGGCATGTTACAGCTGTGTAAACCTGGGTGCACAGGAACAACAGACAGGGCTTGCCTACAGCAAAGGTCACCTTTCACTAGGGAGGTTATAGGCCTGAGGCATGACTACCTGCCATTACCTGCCTGGCTAGGAATTTATTGATCCGATCCCTTTGAGAGGTTTCTTCAGTTAGATTTATTGCAGTGCCCCCCTTTTGTCCACACTGCTAAGCATCATGAGGTCTCCTCTTCCTTTTTCTGAGTGTCACGAGGCCGCTCTTCTCTGGTTGACTACAGGTACTTCACTTTGTGAAGAAGGTGCTCGTGTGTGAAGGAGGCCTGTAGTTTCGTTGTGTGAAGGAATTGGATTGTGATTGCCCAGCTACTGGCTGGTAAGCCCTCATCTCTTTCCCCTCAATGCATATAAAAGACAAAATCTTATTTAAATTTTGAGTCTGGACCTGGCTGCTGTGGCTCCGTGGGTTGAGCGCCTGCTGGTGAACCAAAAGGTCACTAGATCGATTCCCGGTGAGGGCATATGTCTGGGCTGTGGGCCAGGTTCCCAGTTGGGGGCGTGTGAGAAGAACCATTGATGTTTCTCTTGCACATTGATGTGTATCTCTCCCTCTCTTTCTCCCTCCCTTCCCCTCTAAAAAAATAAATAAATTCTTTTTTTTTTTAAACTATTTACTTTTTTTTATTGATTATGCTGTTACAGTTGTTCTATTCCCCCTTTATTCCCCTCCACCCTACCCCCCCATCCCCACCATCACCCCCCCTTTAGTTTATGACCATGTGTCTCAAGTCCTTTAGATTCTATATTTCCCATGCTATTCTTGCCCCCCCCCCATCTATTTTCTATCTACTGTCTATGCTACTTATTTTCTGTACCTTCTCCCCCCCTTCTCCTCCTCCCACTCCCCTGTTGCTAACCCTCCTTGAGATCTTCATTTCTATGTTTCCACTCCTGATCTAGCTGTCCTTTTAGTTTGCTTTCGTTTTAGGTGTGGTTGTTAATAACTGTGAGTTTGTTGTCCTTTCACTGTTCATGTTTCTTTAACTTCTTTTTCTTAGATAAGTCCCTTTAACATTTCATATAATAAGGGCTTGGTGATGATGAACTCCTTGAATTTGATCTTATCTGAGAAGCACCTTATCTGTCCTTCCATTTTAAATGAAAGTTTTGCTGGATAGAGCAATCTTGGTTGTAGGTCTTTAGATTTCATGACTTGGAATACCTCTTTCCAGCCCCTTCTTGCCTGTAAGGTCTCTTTTGAGAAATCAGCTGACAGTCTGATGGGGACTCCTTTGTAGGTGACTGTCCCCTTAGCTCTTGCTGCTTCTAGGATTCTCTCCTTCATTTTAATCTTGGCTAATGTAATTACGATGTGCCTTGGTGTGTTCCTTCTTGGGTCCAACTTCTTTGGGACTCTCTGAGCTTCCTGGATTTCCTGGAAGTCTATTTCCTTTGCCAGATTGGGGAAATTCTCCTTTATTATTTGTTCAAATAAGTTTTCCACTGGTGGCTGTGCCTTTCCCCCTTCTGGTACCCCTATAATTCGGATGTTGGAGCGTTTAAAGATGTCCTGGAGGTTCCTAAGACTCTCCTCATTTCTTTGAATTCTTGCTTCTTCACTCTTTTCTGTTTGGCCATTATTTGCTTTCTTCTGGTCCACTCCATTGATTTGAGTCCCAGTTTCCTTTTCATTGCTATTGGTGTCCTGTGCAATTCCATTCATTTCAATGAGTTTCGCCTTCATATATTTGTCTAATTTGTGGCTATAATCAACCAGTTCTGTGAGGATCCTGATCACCAATTTTTTAAACTGTGCGTCTGTGAGTTTTGCTATTTCTTCATCGCTTAGATTTATTTCTGGGGCTCTGAGATCCTCCTATGCCATTCTTGGTCTGTTCGGGCCCTTTAAGTGTGAGAAGCGGCGGCTTGGATTCCCAGGTCGCTGTATGTGGGGGCGTGGCCAGAGCGGGGAAATGGCGACCCCCTCTGCCGCTTCTCACAGCTGGGTGCGGAGGAGCAGTGCCTTAGGTGGTTCACCTGGGCCGGGCCACTCAGAGTCGCTGGGTTATGACGCTGTATGTGGAGGTGGGGTCAGAGCAGGGAAATGGCGGCGCCCTCCACTGCCGCTTGCCGTGGGGACCTGCCGGCCCGGTCCAACCGCCCACTCCCTCGCCTGTCCACCCTCGCACAAATGCGCGACCTCAGTCAACACGCAGCCCCGGCCCGGCTGTCTCCCCCGAGGTCGCTGGCCTGGTTGCTCGCTGGGTCGCTCACTAGGTCTGACCCTGCGTCTGGATTCCGCGGGCCTGAGTGTGTCTGGCCGAGTCCTCCTGTGCAACCCTGCTCCGCCAGCCGCTGGTTTCGCCCCTTACCGGTCAGGCTGAAGAATTTGTTGTTAACGGACTTCCGAAAAGTTCAATTTTCCGTGTTCTGGCTGTGTTTTCTGTTGCTAATATTTAGTTTTCTCTAATCTTGGTTGTGGGAGAAGGCACGGCACATCCACCTATGCCTCCATCTTGGCGGAAGTCCTCAAATAAATTCTTAAAAAAAATAAATTTTGAGTCTGTGGTAACTCGACTTGGT